GAGTTTGATTATTTATTTAACAGCCTACCTTTATCGGACTTGTGCACAAATTGAAGATTAAGGTATATTATTCAACCAAAAAGTTACTTTTTCGGATTATATTGAAAATACCGTTGCTTCTGCGTTGAAAAGTTTAGGGTTCTTAATTCGTAATACTCGTTCTTTTACAAACTCTTAAAGCTTGGAGATCTTTACTTTTCTTTAGTTCGTTCCAGGCCAGAATATGCATCTCTTTTCTGGAACCTTATTTACAATATTCATAAAAGATCATTGGAAAATGTTCAGCGGCGATCTCTCAAGTACCTTTTAAAATAGATGAGCTGTATCCCATTCGAGGCATTGAAGAATCTTTGCTTCTTTCGAAAGAAGAAGGGTGGTTTCCAGTGTTACATTTTTTTGTAAAATATTACATAACACTATTGATGTACTATTTTTGATAAATTAAATAAATTTTAATGTTCCCCAAACAGCCATTAGATATCATAAAACATTTTATACAGCAAGTATTTGAATGAACTTGGGAAGAAATTCACCTATAACGCTAATGTGCTCAAATTTTAATTAATTTTGTTCTGATTGGGATATTTATTTCGACCATTAGTTGTACTAATTTGTAGCTAATGTATTTAGGATTCTTTTTTTTTTCTTGCTGTTGCTAAAATTATTTTCTGTCGAAATATTATGTTTAACATTTATTTCATGTATTTTGTTCTGTAAATGGATTAATTTGTTGGGCAATAAAATTATTTTTATTTTAATAAGCAAAAAAATGTTTATTTTGATGCACCTACCACCTTTAAAAGTTTGTCAGTATATTAACGAGAAATCCTATATAATTCCCAAAGAAAAATATTTTTGGAATAAATTCAGAATTTTATTTATTGATATTTGTTATTTTTTAGGTTCAATGACTCGAAACATGATGATCAGCTACACCAAGAATATCCTTGATACTTAAAAAAAATGGTACGAGATTAAGCAGATTTGATGCTATGTCACATTGTGGTGCGAAGACGTGGCTTGTATAAATTTGGGGTATCAGTTGATAGAAAACAGTACGCAAAAATAAATTTAAATCTGCAGATGCATCAGAGATAGCCATATTCCATATCACAATATGTCATGCGTGAACTCGATGAGATTTCATCGGCTAAGTATCATTCCTCTGTAATGTTTTGTATCATTAGGAACACGCAATATTGTAAACAATTATGACCAGGGTTTTCTGACCTTTTCCCTAGATCAGAGAGAATAAATGAATACTAAATAATGTATAGTAATAAAGATTGAAAATATATATACTTTTAAGTGTTTTATTATGTCAGCCATAGTTTTATACCAAAAATGAAAATAAACTGAAATTATACATTAAAAATACATTCATTTATAACACTCATCGACTCTCTCCTTGCTAAAATATTACTTATCTATCTATTTTGGGCTCTGTTCCATCTATTTTTTGCCTTTAGCCTCCTTCTGACACTTCCATTCGTTCTTATTCAGTGTAGTATCCACATAGTTTTCAGAATATCAAGTGTTATACCTATCTGATGCTTGGTCCTACAAGTGACATCTATCTCGATGTCAAGTTTGATTGAACACCCGTTTCTTGCCTATTTCTTTTATACTTAACCAGACTAGCTTAGACTTGAACGCATATGTCTAATTCGGCCAAAACACAGCCTTGGTACACAAATATCTATTTTACCGCTGGTTTCATTACAAAAAACTGGAGTAAAGGGTAAAATTATCTCTTGTATATATTATTTTTGATTGAAGACGTATACATTTAAAAATGTCGTTTACTTAAAAATAAACATTTAATTTTGATATTTTATTTAACTCCATCAAAACATTAAATTATTATTTTCCATGGCTTATACCGGACCTGTATGTACTCTAGTAGCCATGGAGTAGCTGACAGTGTTGCCGTCAGTTGCCGCCACATATTCATTAGTGACATACGTTTTATAAATTCATCGTGTTACAAATTTGTTGACATAAAGAGATATAAATTTAAAGTGACGTCTTTTATTACTTCGAATGAAAATCGATAATGCAATTTTCTAACCTAAAATATATCGTGATTATATGTCAAACAAAATTGAACTTGGCCTTAAATTTAGGCCCGTATTTATAAACAGAACTTACGTGAGTCGGACTTGGGTAAGTCGTCCTTGAACTAAAATCGAAGTTCGGTTAGAACGTCTCTAAAGTTCTAGGTGGTTCTGGTGTTAAACTAGAATTTAGAGATGGATGTTGGCAAATCTGTAACTGTTATGTACATTTACGGATTTGTTACTACCCATCTTTAAATTCACGCGATATAACCGAACTTCGATTTTCGTTCAAGGACGACTTACCCAAGTCCGACTCACGTAAGTTCTGTTTATAAATACGGGCCTTAGTAAGTGGCTATTTATTAAATACTAGAGAAATCAGGAGGATAATAAATCAACGAAAAATTGAAAAGAATTCTACACCGGGCGTGGCTCGACAAAAAAAATAATTGAAAATAAAAAAAAAAAAAATAAAAAAAAAATAAAAAAATAAAAAAAAATAAAAAAAATAAAAGAAAAATAAACAAAAATACATATAATTAAAAAAATAGATATTTTTATAATTAATTACAAACTCAGGTATTTTGATAGCTTTAAGTTAAAATATAATAATAATAATGTAATCATGTAACAATAGTGGACCTTTTGCTTTTATCCAGTGACATTATTAAAAAAAAAAAGATATGCCTCGTGAATAATGATTGTATTTTTTCGTAGTTTTTAAATTTAATTATATTGAAATCGGGACTAATAAAAGGAATATATTTTGTGTTTTCAAAATTTATAGTGAGAGTAATTTAATCAAATCATGATTTTATGTTGCTAATATATGTTTCAACTGTTTTTTTATTTCCTTCCAAGTACATACTCGTACTGCATAGCACTGTCAATTGAGAATTATAAAATGAGTCCTTCAAATTTATAGGTCAAAAACTCTTTTATATAGAAAACAGTATCGGGCCAAGCACAGTGCCTTGTGGTACACCGTAAACTACTATAGATGGCTCACTTACTTTAACATATTGCTTTGTTTTTTAGGTACTTATGATTTAAAAACTTTATTTAATGATCAATTGTGTCGAATATGCTTTAGCTAAATCTAAAATACACATATAATAGCTTTTTATCAAGTTGATTATAAATTTAAGAAATTCTGAAGAAATTCCTTTTTTGAATCCAAATTGTAGACACAATAATTTTTGACAGGTTCGAAATCGGAGACATAGGGCGATAATTTGCCATTTCCTTCATATCTCTTTTTTTGGATAATGGCTATTAATGCGTATTTTAAAAATGATGGAAATTATATTATACTCATTGTTTTATTAACCGATTTCAAAAAAGAGGATGTTCTCAATTCGTTGGTATATTTTTTTTTTATGTATGTTCAGCGATAATTCTTTAATACGTTGTCCGATTTCAATGATTCTTTATTTGTTAGAAAAAGGTGGTCCCATATAAATTTGGTCAAAATCTAAAAATTGGGTTCATGATAAAATCCTCAAACTCTTCATTTTTTATATAGTATGGTTCAATTGAAAGGAATAAATTCATTATAATGGAAGTAGTTGGTTTTTTGAAAAAATGTTCGGACAGGTCAATTTTGTTTACTCAAAGCGCAATTTTTTAAATAGAATTCAATTTTCCCCCACTTCACATTTTTGGGCAGTGACGTCATTGAATATTTTTTTAAATAGTAACCCCAATTTCTTTTTTTTGATTTTGATAGATCTTGCAATTTCCTACTCGGAAACATAATATTTGAAATATCTTACATAACAATTTTTTTTGAATAAAAGACATTTAAAGATCAGACACATAAATTTTATTTTATTTTGAGAACACAATAAATGAATAAAAGATAATTATTTGTAATTAAGTGCTTAATCTAACAAAATAATTAATAATAATAATAATAAAAAAGAATTTGTGAAATTGTCATTAAATTCTTTTTATTATTATTATTATTTTTTTTTTTAGATGAAGCACTTAATTACAAATAATCTTTTATTCATTTATTGTGTTTCAAAATAAAATAAAATTTATGTATCTGATCATTAAATGACTTTTATTCAAAAAAAATTGTTATGTCAGATATTTCAAATATTATATTTCCGAGTAGGAAATTGCAACATCTATCAAAATCAAGAAAACAAAATTGGGATTACTATTTAAAAAAATTGTCAATGACGTCACTGCCCAAAAATGGGAAGTAGGAGAAAATGAAATTCTGTTTAAAAAATTGCGCTTTTAGTAAACAAAATTGACCTGTCCGAGCATTTTTTCGAAAAACCACCTGCTTCCATTATAATGAATTTATTCCTTTCATTTGAACCATACTGTTTAGCGATAATTCTTTACCACCTTGTCCGATTTCTATGATTCTTTTTTTGCTAGTAAGGGGGGTACCTCAGGGGTGGTCCCATATAAATTTGGTCAAAATATAATAATTGGGTCCATGAGAAAATCCTCAAACTCTTCATTTCTTAAGTATATTTAGCAACAGTTCTTTACCACCTTGTCCGATTTCTATGATTGTTTTTTTGTTAGTAAGGGGGTACTTCAGGGGTGGTCCCATATAAATTTGGTTAAGATGTGGTAATGGCATCTGCACGATTTTAAAGTCGATTTTTTAAAATTACTTTTAATACTTGTTATAAAATCAGAATCGCCTGATAATAAATTAAAATTTTAATCACCCAATAATCCATTTTTATTATCAATACCAGATGCCCCAAACACTTAGCTGAATTACCAATATGCCAGGCTATACAAATAAATTCTCTAAAAACAATCGGAAATGAAGTAAATACTAAATTTCAAGCACAGCGGTGTTAAAATAAATCTGAACCTTTTTATAACCAAACCACTTGTGAAACTATTTTCGTATTTCCTAAGACTCGTCGAAATGTAGGTACGCCTCTAAAATTAGACCAGTTAAATCTCGCGAGTCAATGAAAATCGGCGAAAATTGACTTTTTCCTCTCTGTAACTGTATAATGTCGAAAGTAAACAAAATGTGACTTTTGAAATATTGAGTGTATCGAAGATGTGATGCGAAACATTTGTGTTTAGATCATTTTTACATGGTAATCTAGTTAAAAAAAGTGTTGTGGTCGATACAAGGGCTTTTCTATTATTAATATGAAATAATCTTGTGAATCGGTATAGTTTTTAGAAACAAAAGCGGTCAATTGTTAACATTTGGATGTTTAATTTAGATTCTCTCAAGAACTAAAAGTTTCAATAAACAAATATTGCTAGCTTTAGAACGAATATTATCAATATTTCCAAAATGTTCTGCTGCAAGCAAAAAGTAATTGAGAACTGACTTGTGTCAGACTCTTGAGTCATTTTGAAGAAAAATTATTAAAGAAAACACTTTTAGGGGGATAGGTGGCCCAGTGGTTTGAGGACCGGATTTTTTTTCTAAATTATAATTGATTATTTTTTCATCTTTCAAATTAGTAAAGTTTGTGATTTCAGCCAATAAAAATTCGCGATACTAATTAATCTTAAGTTTTATACTGATTAAACCACTTATTCGTTTTTTTTTTGACAAAACTCGTTTTCCTTTTGAATTGACAACTATGAACTGTATCTCAAATCTATGTTAATACTCAAATTTCAAAAATATTGTTATTTTACCTGCTTTAGATTATGCTAAATCATTTTAACACACATAAAACGCACTTACTTAAACACTTAATTTTTGTCAATTAAACATAATTTTTTGAACACCAGAACAGTTCTAAATTAGCTAAATTGAGCAGATTTTGTTCTAATTTATAGTTTACGACACCGAAACACAATAAAAACTATAAAATTTGGCAAATGTCAAACTCCCAAAAGTATAGATAATTTATTTCATATCGCCGCGGTTTTGCGCATGCTCCACACATTCCTGCTATTGCAGTAATACTTTGTTGCCATATTTAATTAAAGGAAATTATATTAGTGTAAAATAAACAAATATTAATACTATGTTTAAGCTTTTAGATTATTACCTACTCCATATGTTATTATTATTGTGCCTTTTTCATGCAACATTATTCAAAAAGTAATTTTTTCAAATACCATTCGTTCTTTTAAATTTAATCTAATAAAGTTTGAGTTTCCATCCGTAAACGCCTTTATTTCAGGAAAAACCACTCAACAAACCAATTTGAGATAAAAACGTTTTCGTGTAAACTAAAAATGTAATCGATAAAATTTGTAGGATTAGTCATATTACCTTTAATTAAAAATTAAACTCACTGCCTAGGCATGAGTCCTCATTCGACCGTTCACTCTTGGATTCTAATTACATTGATATGTGTAAAGTAGCGATGGTAAATAGCAACAGAGTTTGTACCTAATACGAGGCTAATAACAAAATGCAATAAGTTCCAAACGGTAAACTTTATCACGGTAAGAAGTTTCACAAAACCTGCGTGGTATTTGAAAAGATTATTTAACAACATAAACATAACTTTTATAAATAAAATTTGCTTTGTTTTCGTAAGATGAAGTCGATTCAGTATTTAAAAATCAATATTTCAATAAATAAAACAATTTTTGTCTATTTTTCGTCACCTTTTCGACAAACTTCATATTGACGGTTCATATAAATCATTGATACGTATTAATACGTAATGGATTTAATTTTTTAAATCCAATCGTGATTTAGTGAAAAGACTGCATCATTGATTAACTTGTGTTGAAATAAAATATGATTGTCATTGGGACTGAGCTCACGGGAATTCTCATAGCAGCAAAATATTTCACCACAAACAATTTGACTGGAAGAAAATATAGATAACAGACAAGCACTACTTTCCCTGAACAGATCACGAATTTACTCAGGGTTAGTACTAGAATGTCACGAGGCTTTGGCCGAAGTATCCATCAACAATGGTGGTGGATCAAAGGTCACGCCACATCGAAAGGTAACCGTCTTACTGATTCACTAGCCAAGAAGGCAGCCAACCAAATACTTTTTGGACCTGGCCCTTCTATTGGCCTGACAAAATCGGCAGTGGCAGACCTAAATATAAAACATTCCCTTGTAAAATTCAAGGAAATATGGGAAGTTATCCTGAAAACACTACATTTTGACTGGTCATTGCCAAGTACAGAAGAAATTTCTTATCATGGGAATGGGAATCATCAGAATCCGCACTTTGCATGGGGTGCGAACAAGATCATGAGATCATCGAAAATATCCTCTACGATTGCCCGACGCTCTCATTTATTAGGAGATTTGTATTCGGTGAGTATCGGTTAACACCGGCCGATATAAGAGAAGCACCTCTTGGCGACGTTGTTAACTACATTAAATCTGCAGGCTGATTCACGAGCTGTCTATCATCATATTATTATGAGGATGCACAATAAGCCTTCACACGTTACAGATACAGATGAGTGTCATTGGTTGATGTATTATAGTGTTAAATAATCATATAAATAATAGAAAATTATTGAGTCGACCACAAATAACAAAATGACTGGTAAATTCTTTTAAATTGAGTATCGTTAAAACCAAAGCGACAAACTTATACAGTTAACTTTTAATATTGCAAAATATTTAAATTTGCTTTAAAATGTCTCGATATAAATCGGACCCCGAAATTGCTGATTATGAAACTACGAAGTGTTGTACAAGTTTTCTACATTATTCTTGGAAAACCATAACCTGCTTGTTCTCACACGTTACCTTAGTGTCCATGGTCGTTTCGTATTGCGTACTTGGTGCTTTCACATTCGAGGCTTTGGAGGTGGATAATGAAAGAATGGTAAGTAGAATTTAAGTAACTATAACACCGCTATTAATTTATCCTGCTAGGATTAGTTGTTATTGACTGTGTTTTTATTATTTTGCCTTCTTTGGTTGTAATTAGACTGGAAGTTTAATAATTTTTGAGAAGACTCAGTGCCTGCTGTGGATAAATTATAGAAGAAGACAATCTTAATGGCATTATTAACATTGAACCAATAAGCCAAGCAAAGATGGATTTCATCTCATCGAGATATATCTTTTACAAGCTATATAAAGTTACTACGAAACAAATAGACAAGTCGAAAGTACGATTCATATCTACATCGATGATTCTAAAACAAAACAAGGCTGAGGATGTGGATCTGGAATATACTCCAAATCCTTAAACCTAAACGTAAAATGGTCCATGAGTAATAGTGCCAGTGTAGTTCAAATTGAGCTCACGGGGATTCCCATAGAAATTACCAAAAACAATATCTGTGGAAAGACTATGCTTATTTATACCAATAGCAGACAAGCGATTCTTACCCTAGACAGATCACGAATTTACTAAGGGTTTAGTACTATCAACAAAGTGGTTACCGATTCACTAGCCAAGAAAGCAGCCAATCAAATATTTTTGGACCTGGCCCTTCCATTGGACAAACCTAATTAAATAACGCCCTTGTGAAAATCAAGGAAATGTGGGATGAAACATGAAGCTGTAGAGTTACTAGGGAGCTTTTAAGACAACACCAGAGCAAACAAATACTTGTCTATTCCTAGACAGATTCTGCTTCTGATCACAGACATTCTAATATATCACTGCTAAGTTCAGAAGCATCTTCATAGTATGAGGGTGTCAGAATCTGCATTCTGCAGAAAGTGCGGACAAGAAAACTATCAAGCCTGTCCTCTACAAATACCAGACGCTCCCATTTATTGAAGATTTGTGATCGGCGAGTTTTGGGCTAAAACCGGATATAAGGGAACGGTAACAACGAGACTAAAGCAAAGTACAAAGACTGTGTGACGGGTGCAACAAAAACATATCAAACACTTACCAAGCAAGGATAGGTGATGCCTTGTTAGAAAACATATTGGGAACTTAATCGTAACTCTAGACAAGGTCATATTATGAGTATCATAAACTAAGAGGCTGGTATGTATTAATATTATTAGTCAATATAATTTCGTAGCCCAAGGTTAATTGAGTTTTCGAAGCCCCAAAATTTGTAGTTGGAGCAGCGAGATTGTCAATATGAACGGGGTCTAATTTTTTAAACCCTTTGAATTTTTAAAGTAACGAGGTACTTATACCATTCGCCTGTTGAAAAATGCAAAGTGGTAAGACCAATTAGACATATGATGGATGACGGATGACGGGATTATGAGTAGCACGCACCGCTTTAGGCCCCAGTTGGGTCCATACAGATTTTTTTTTAACGAGTACATAGTAATCTCCACCCTTATATTTTTAGCTATCCTGCTCTGTTGTTCTGATCAAATGGTTCCATTCCAGGCATTTAAGGGCTTTATCTTTTCTGAGATATTGTTAGTTAGAGCAAGTGGATTATCTCATAAACTATGAAATACGTAACATTGCACGAATGTACAGTGTATCTGTAAATTCGTGCAGTGTTGCATCTTTCTTGAGTTAATACACTACCTCTGTTATGTGTTGGGAATGGGGTGTTAATATACAGCGACCTAAAATATCTGTTTTGTCCCCTTTTGTCGCTAATGCAGTAAGGAAATATCTCGATGCCTACAACGACCCTTCCAATCCTATCTTCTCAAGGAAGTGTAGGATTTGGAGTGGCTTCAAGTTAGATAAATCTCCCTCTTCTTTTTAATATGCTCCTAGGTACACAGTACCCTGGGATTCTGAAGTACTACACATTTGGTCAGAATGTGTACTTACTATCTTCTACTACGTCCAGTTTACTAAGATGTCCTTTGAGTCAGCAATGCCCAGTAAGAACACCTTTTATATTGAGTAGTACTTTCTTGCTTAGGCAGATAGAGGATTATTTTCTAACCTTTTCTGGATATATTAATCTAGAAGTATCTTAGCCTACCTTAGCCCCAGGAGATTGTTCCAATTATCAGTTCTTTTACTGCCTAATTCTTTTTTAATATCTCCTAATGTATTACTGCTGATACCGCAGAATATTTGAGTCCCTTTCCACACGAGATCATCTGCAATCTCGTAACCATTTACCCCAGACCTAAGTGAGAGTAACTGTATTTTCCTCTCCTAGCTCATTCAGTTGTTCTAGGTATCTCCAGACCATTTTTGAGATCATTACGTAAGGGCTCAGCGCTTTGATAGCTGCTATAGGACATGATGATAATCTCTAGTCTACGATAGTCTCTCTGGATGTTAAACTGGTTGGTTACCTATTTTCTCAACCTTTCAGAGTGCCTGGTTCTAGGCCCATACACTCCTATTCCTAGTCCCTTCTATCGTTTTGGAATCATCCGTATACCACTCTACTATCTCTAAGACGTGTCTTGATATATTTGTCAATGAGTATCCACGTTTATTTGAATCATTTTATTTCTGTGGCCTTTGCTGAATTCAATATTGATTCCACAAATATTAATTTTCTACTCTCACTCTCAGCTTAGTTTCTCTTCTCTTCTCTTAAAATTTCAAATATTTTAAAGAAAATGAAGGTTGTTTAAAGGTATTCTAAATTCTATGTATCATGGAAACCTTCAGCAAAAGCAGTTGTAGTTTATTGGTACGAGTTTTTAAGTTTTGGGTGGAAGAATTTCTAATTTCGAAATTATCGTGACACTCAAATATTTTATACCAGAATAAAAACTGTTCCATGCTTACGGCACAGTCTAATATTAAATTTATTTAAGATTTGCCCTTTCAACTATTCTCAGAATTTAAGAAACTCTGTCTCAGCTTCTTTGACAGGGATTTATTAATAAAAGATTAAAGTTATTTTATGTTTTCTCAGTTAACTGAGTTACGTTTACTTTGAAAAGAAATATTAGGTCTGAATAAAGTTCTGAAAAACTCGCCCACAGTGATTTTTATTATATTATTTTTTATAACCTTGGTAGAAAAGTATCTTCATCAAATTAAGTTGGAAATTAGGATTCCATCTTTATTTGTTTTTTTTATACGTCCAGTGCAATTCTTAATTAGTTATTTAATCGTAATGTAATGAATAACTATGTACAAAGTAATTTAATATTAATATTTATTTGGGAGAAACATTTTTTTTCTTTTTTTAGATAGTTTAGGATCTTATTAAACAAAAACCACAAATAAATCTTGGTCAGTTTTAAAATAAGACACTAAAATAATGGAAAATTGTATAATAGTTTTATTTTAAGTGCAATGTAAATAAATTAAATAAAAATGAAATATTTTGATGCACTCCGATAAGTTATTTCAGATGTTTGTTGAGGTATAGAAATGTTCAATAGCTGTTAAAACATTTATTTAAAAGAAGTACCTAATGACTAGGATATTAAAATTCATTTTTGCTTACTGATTTTTATATAAATACATTGTTATGGAAAAATTAACATCACACTATTCGTACGTTAAAAAAAACACTTGAATCCTAACATTTTGTTTTAGGTAAAACGAGGAATTTACAAGATCAGAGAAAATATAACGTGGCATTTATGGAACTTCACACAAGAAATGGATGCTTTGGACCAGGAAAACTTCACCAAAGGAGCTGTAATATATCTGAAAGCGTTTGAAAACTCTTTGCTGAACAAAATGAATAAAGATGGGTGGGACGGTGAAGAAGATCCCGAGAAAGTTCAATGGACAAGGACAGGGTCGTTATTTTATTCCATCATCGTTATTACAACCATAGGTAAGAAGTTAAATAATAATATAACTAACTTAGTGAGACCCAAATTCAGATTAAAACTAACCTAACTATACCCAAGGACAAAAATAATTATTTGCTAACCCCTGACCATAAAAATATGGTAAAAAGAGGTCTAATAGTTGAGTCGGAAAATTTTAATCATAATATATTACGAATTAGGAATATAAATTCGCGCCCAGTCATAATTTTTAAAAATAGTACAATTGGACTCTTATAAGAAAAAGAGAATCTAGCATGTTCAAGGTGGAGTCTCTTCACCACTGAGGAAGGGGATAATATCAATTTAAGTGATTTTGATCTATCTCATATCATAAATGGCGATTTTAAATCTGTACTAAATAAATTAATTTTAAAATACTCAGACGTTTTTTCAAAAACAATGAGAACTATGGGACGAACGCACCTTTCAGAACATATAATAGAAGTAGAAACTACACCTGTCAAAAGTAGGGCCTACAAGGTGTCCCACAAAGAAAGGAACATAATTGACGAACAAATACAGGAAAAGCTCGAACATGACGTCATACGTCCAAGCCACGGACCGTGGGCAAGCCCTGTAGTGTTAGTGAAGAAAAAAGATGGAAAAGTTAGATTTTGCGTAGATTATCGTAAATTAAATAATGTAACGAAAAAATCTAACTATCTCATTCCCCAGATAGATGACATTTTGACATATCTACATGGGGCGACATACTTTACTACCCTTGACATGTTTAGTGGCTATTGGCAAGTTCCAGTGGATGAAGCCTCTAAGGAATACACTGCTTTTGCTGTGCTACAATGGACAATACAATACGAGTGCAATGTCTTACCATTTGGTCTCACAAATGCCCCTGCTACATTTAAACACTTGGCTGACCAAGTTTTCCAGGGTATAAAATGGAAGGAAATTGTAATATATCTGGACGATATAATAATTTTTTCTACTACCCTGGAAGAACACTTGAAGAAACTGGAAAATGTCTTCCAAAGACTAAGGGATGCAAACCTTACTCTGAAACCACAATAAATATTCTGGGCTATACAGTCAGTGAAACAGGACTGACAAGAGACGAGAGTAAATTGGTGGCCATAAAGGAGTTTCCCACCCCAAAATCCGTCAAACAAATAAAAAGTTTCATCGGATTATGCAATTATTATAGGAAATTCATTAAGAACTTCTCGTTAATAACACTACTTCGTGACATGGTACTCAACCAGGAACTGTAAATTTGACATGAATACTGTGCTGGTAGCATTAATTTGATTCAAAAGGAAAGACTTGTATTTCGTGCAAAAATTTTTCAATTATTAAATGCAAAGCGTTTTCGGCAAGGTGCCATCATCAGTGCTTATCTACAAAAATTGTGGATGTAAACTTACAATTTATAAATATGTGTAAAAATAAAATCTGAGTAAGACTTTTAAGTCAAAAGTTAAAAATATATAATATATAAGGTAATTTTGAACAAATAAACAATTAAAAGATAACAAACAGAGTTACATAACCCAGTGTTGGGAATAGTGAGTGTGGGATAAGCTCCTAAAAAATCATATCTGATCTCCAGAAGCAAGTTAGCTTGTGTGGAACTAAGGAATTATACCACCTTCACTATTCGCATTGAGTACAGTTGAAAACAACAAATTATATTTAAAAATTTTACAAATAGAGGGCGACTGGAAAATATATTGAAATTTAAATTTAGAATACAATACAATACAAGGTTTTTTCCTGTTTACATTATAATTGTAAAAAAAGTCTACCTACTGTCTACAAACAAGCATATCCACCAAATTCTTAGTCATCCTTGCTCCAAAATATAAATATTTCTGGAGATTCACAACTTGCTAAATCATAATTATTACTATTAGTAATATTTTAAAATTTAATTTGATTTATACATTTATTTTTATTATTATTGTTTAACCAACTGTGTCCATGTGACAGTGGTGACAAGCTACATTTAAAGACGTTGACCGGCCAAATGTCAAGAGAGGAGGTGCGTTCACCTCAGTGTGGAACAAGTTTCTCCAAGTGTGATTCGAGTGATTGGAGCTGGTAAAAAGAAATCAAAATTTGTTAGTATTGAATTTAAAGAAAATTTTTCTGAAAACAAAAATATCACTCACATAATTCTGCTGTGTCAGCCCGGGCTCTGCAGAACTTTTTTAAGAGAACCCAAGATGGTACAACTGAACCCGCGGTCCCTAGAGGTGAATCTAATGTTTAGTCTTAAAAATTCCAAATCACTCAACAAGCGTACTCATGGTTGGAGTAAGAAAAAATAGAGAACAAAAAATTAATCATACAAGTACCATGGTTCCAAAGGTAGGCTCTAATGGATGAAATCCAGTTTAGGAGGGGATGGCTCTCAAAGGCTTATATTGAGCGACTCGGACTTAAATCATCATAGAGGGTTAACTGAGTTGTCTATGGAGTGGTATAAAATTTCTGTTAAGGTTCACTTGAGTGTTGAGACAGAGGATATTGTTGTCTCTTTCAAGGGTAATTTCAACATCTTCATGGAAATCTAATAAGTTAAATTTTTTTGTGTTCAAGTTGACTAATAATTTGGAGTTTTTTGTTGGGCTAAAATTATGTTGGTTAAATCTCAAGTGATGTCCAAATGTAGATGTGTCCGGCTTCTTGATGTGCTCGCCTATCCGGACACCCAAAGATCTGCAAGTTCTGCCAATATAACTGGCATCGCAATCGCAGCATTGCAACCTGTACACTCCACTCTTGTCTAACAAATTCGTTTTGTCTTTGGTGTTGACTAGATGAGAGTCTAATTTATTAATTGATTTGAAAGATACTTTAATGTTATCTACGTTGTTAGCAAAAGTTTTTGAGATGCTCTTAGCTAAGTTATTTTCTCAGAAGAGAATTGATGTGTAAAAATATCGCGACGAATTGATAACCTCCTCCTTTTTTGAAGTCGGTTAAAAATTATTAATATGACTCAAATTAGAGTAGGCTAATTTTTGAATTTTTTTGAACTTAATTTTGGTGATTAGAGATTGAATTATGTCCGGGTTATACCCGTTGTTAAATGCAATTTGTTTAGGTATATTTAATTCTTGAAGATAGTTAGTTTTATTTAGAGGGATTGATAGAAGTCTATGAATATAGCAATAAAAAGCAGACGGACTTCCAAAGATCCACAAGACGGACATACCCATTAGGCCAGTTGAAAGTTTCATCAACACTCCAGTTGCAAAAATCACCACTTTTATTTGCAACTTAATTCATGATCTCACACAATTCAAACAAGCCAACTGGGTAAGTAACAGTTTAGAATTTTGTAATAAAATCAAAAATATCAACATCCCTGACAAATTCACCATGGTTTCTTTCGATGTTAGCAACCTGTACACCATCATTTTACAATTTTTAAACCTGTGCTTATCCCAAAATTTCTTCACTTTTAACATCATCACCTATGAACAACCGATGGCCTTGCTATGGGATGTGGCCTATATCCTTTAATCGCTGATATCTTCATGAACCATTTAGAAATCAGCTACATTATTCCACAACATAAGAATATTTTAATTTACCACAAATATGTGGATGACATTTTTTGGCTAATAAATGGTAATGCCAACACGGCTTCTAATATTTTAAATTCAATCAAAACTATCTATCCCAATATAAAATTCACTCTGGAAGCCGAAAGAGAATGTTGTTTAAACTTTTTGGACCATTCTGTCCACAGGCAGGGTAACAAATTTAAATTTAGCATATACAGGGTGTCCCGAAATTAGACGGTCATATTTTAACAGCGTAATCTACATCCCAAAATAAGAATAAAAGTTCATATAAACATAGGTCCGAAAACGTTTCGTTTTCGAGATACAGGGTGTTACAAGTGAAGTCCTGATGGCACATTTTTGTAAATATTTTCTAAAATAAAAAAAAAATAAAATTTTTGATTTCACAGGCCTACTAATTATTGTTTACACTTTACAATAACTTATCATAAAATTTTCAAATGCTTTTTTCTTGAAAATGGTGCGTCCTAGCGAGATGCAACAAAAGTAGCTTTATTATAAGGAAAACATTGGTTTTCCAAATTTTATAGTCAAAAATGTTAAAAACTGTCAACAAAAAAAACTTAGGGCAATTTTACCCTAAGCCCCCCTAATTTACCCACTTATGAAAATTATCAAAATCTGGGGTCTATTCCGTTAAATAGAGCGTACAAAGGTAAGCATTTGTACCAAATTTCACTTAGTTATCTTTAAACGTTTAAAAAATATTTAAAAAAGAGTGTCATCAGGACTTCACTTTTAACACCCTGTATCTCGGAAAAGAAACGTTTTCGGACCTATGTTTAAACTTTTACTCCTATTTTAGGATGTAGATTATGCTGTTAAAATATGACCGTCTAATTTCGGGACACCCTGTATAGAAAATCCACCCAAACAGACCACGTGATACACTATTTTTCACCCTCACCAACAAAATTGTCTGCGTTCTATTGCTATATTCATAGACTTCTATCAATCCCTTTGAGCTCATGCACGTGTCTTCATTGGTCAAACTAAAAGACATTTTTTATATATGACAATACAACAACCGTCAAAGGTAATTTCTAGTTATAAAATAAATTTATTATGTTACTATTAAAAAAATATGAATATTGTTGTAAGGAAATGTCAGAAGCAAGATTTTCGTCGTTAAATTTAAGCTTATATTCATAATCCGAACGTAGAGAAGGTTTACGTACATATAATATCCACGTCCTAATAAAATTAATCAAAACTAGACAAAGACATTCCGGTAGGAGACGGATCATCATATTAATTATTTACTTACTGTAATGTTACAGTCTCATCTCTTATGTGAACAATTATATATACAAAGACGTTAGTCACCAACAGATTAAATTCCACCTCTATGTAGAACCGTTAAATGCAGGGGTGGCTTAGGAAGAAAAAACTTCAAATACAGTCTGTTCGCTATACTTACGCGGGTTTCGGATTAAAAATTTCCAGGT